TTTAGGGGGCTTGTACGGTTCATTGATCCTGATCATTTTTCATCCAAACTAACCGGTTCTAAGAAGAGACCGCAGTTCTAGATTTGAAAACTGCTGAACCATCTTTGTATCAACGTGCTTCTATACGCGCATCAATTGCGCAATAATTGTTCCGACTTTCGCAACGGAATATTTGTGCTCGGTGTGGTTTTTTTACCCAGACAAATTTCGACTTTTTAACTAGCCATTTTTTGACGGAACTTATTTATATCATTCAAAAGTATTATTCTTCTGAGCTCAAATTTGAAAATTTATTTCACCTGGGATCGTTTTTCGTGAAGTTAATGGGGCTTAAAGGTTGCCATTTTGGCCATTTTGGGACAATTAACGCGCGATATATTTCGCACCATAAACACGTAAGCGGAGATTTAATCCGTCTTAGAAATCGTTCCAAATTGGTTGAAGAAAGCTTGTTTGTCATAATTATATTGTTCCTAGGAGCGAAATCTATCACTTTCTGCTAAATATGGCGTGTTTTTACAACAATTTGGAAGTTTTTGTTCTTTTCAATCTATCAAATTCAATTTTCTCATGTTATTACTGCTCCATAGACCTTAAACGACAGTCAGAATTTTCAGGGCTTTGCCCTGATACGAGCAGTCTGGTTTCTCTTTCATCTTAAAAGCATAATTTTAGCATTCTTTTGTTCCTGTTTGAGTAAATTAACGTTAAAATCAGAATTTAACGCCATTGATTCTGCTTTCCAATTAGCGTTTTCTGATTGCAATTTTCCGCTACAAGGGAAACGTGCTGTGAAAAGTCGAAGTATTTACAAAACCTTGACAGCTAGACATATTCATTAAATTATTCCCTCCATCGAAAAAGAACTTTGACGAAATTGAAAAATTTGAGATTTCTTATTTCTGCCGCAAATAGATCATATACGTGACACGTGTTTAGATAAAATTTTTATGACTATTGTAAACAGGCTCATTAACTACTGTTGCAAAGAACAGCAAATTTACATGATTTTGGAGCCTTGTAAAAACAGTTCAGTTGGTGAAATGGAGGTCTTTTTACATAGCTTAGCTTAAATATCAGATTTTGAACTAAAAAAAATGTTCGTACCAGGAAAAAGATTTTAATGTTTCGAGTACAGTTGCAATTATTTGAAATATTTTTTGCTGGAAAAGAAGATGAAATTTTCTTTGATTCTTTCAATTAAAAACTGAGAACTGAGCAAAAAGTGATAATTCTTTGCGTCTACCTGCAGTGCTCATTTAAATTATCCGAACAAAGCGCACAAAACTTGAAATTTAAAACGTGTTTTTTTTCAAATAAGATTGAGTCTAGACGGGAAAAGATTTGCATGGAATTAATAAAAAAAAGTTTATGGTGCTAGTTGGGTCCAACTTTTTTGGTTTTTCTAGTTAAACAAAAATTACGCCAAAACTACCAAGTCAATCATTATTACCTAACCCAACAAAGCTTAAGAAACGCATTTTTAACCAACAAAAAATGTACAAATGCTTAAGCATTGTACATTTTTTTTAAAAATTAGCTTCATTAACAAAAAATGTCATTTTCACTAAATAAAACACTCCTTTTTTAGTTAAATACATTTTTTAAACGTTTCGCTTAAGACTTTTGGCAATTATACCCTTCTAATTTGTTTGGCTTAATAAGAGCAGGCTCAAGTTGATTTTTCCAGTGGTTGAACCGATGGAAATCTTCATCATCATTGTTTTTCATCTCAACCAAAAACAAATACGAATGCGCGAAAATGAAAACCCACTTAATTTTTGACATTTTTGAAATGCATATTTTACACAGAAATGGTTGTTAAAAATAATACATGCATAGGGGGGATAGTTAACAAAGTCCAAATGGGGGGTAGGGAAATAGTTAACAAGATCCTTAAATCCTTAAAAAGCTTCATAACTTGACAAAACAAAGTTGCTCACGTATAAAATTTTTCAAATTTTGTTCACAGGCATCAGTCCGTTTTTAAGAACAGTCTAAAAATTGCCTCATCAAGGTTTTCAGTTTCGAAAGAGAAGACAGACACATGCAAGATTGATTCTATCAGCAAAACCATTAATTTTTTGACTGGCCTTTAAAAGGTGTGAATAGCTTTTGGTTAAGCAACCTTTACCAACTTTTCCCCATTTTTTCTCCCAATTTAACCAATTCTATCTCAAGCCAAATTTTTTCAACTTTTCTATAATTTTAAAAAACCCAAAGTGAAGCGGTGAAAATATATGAAATAATCAAATAAACGTATTAACACGCAATATCTGGACAAATGAGCGAGTTGCCTCAGTCCGATTTTGAAATAATTCTGATCCGAACTATTTGACTGTCAACGCGTTCATAGGCAATAGAAAGTAGAAGGTTAGGTATTTCGTTCGATATAGTCCGATATTTTTTCTGTTCAATGCCCATATTGTTTCAAAAAGTTTTGCACTTCAATTTTTTTTAAAATTCTGATCTAAGCAAAATATTTTTCAGATGGTACAAAATTTTTCCGGAGAAAAACCATACCTGCGTTAATGCTTAATTTTTCTCAAAAACAAGCAGT